CATAGCTGTCGTCTGATAACCATAGTCCCACCATGATGCCACCTACATGATTTTATTTTTGCAAACCAAACTCAGGCAACTTCATATATTAAAGACAGCTTATACCTCTACCAAAGGATGCTTAACTGGATCTAAAAACTGACTTGTTTTTGTCGAAAAAACTTACTTTATCATCCACATCAGTATTATGGCTTAACCATGCATAAGACTCTCTAAAATCATCAAAGACATGTAGGCCATCACGCGACTGAGATGTCAAAACTATTGATGGAGCTGAATATGCTTCCGCAGCTGCCCAAACACAATGGATCTACAAAACAAAGGTATGCATTTCGAAGTCTTATCATTTGAATTTTGTCGTCTAAACTAACTGTAAAGATGGGACCATAACTAACAACTCGAAGAAAGTCTGCATACCACATAGAATGCACCCAACATTATAAGGAGGAGAAGCGCAACAATAGAGGCTTCAAGAGGCAAAACAAGAGCCTTCTTCTTAATCTTAGACTTAACAGAAGGTTTATCAGCAGGTTCTCTCTCTTTCTTCTTGCCCTTTTTGGAAGACCGCTCTTTTACAATCTCTTCACCCTTGTCAGTCTTACCAGCAGAAGCATCATCTTTTGGGGCATTGTTCGTGGAAGTGTTGTCCTCTGCCTAACAGTCGAAACACAAACCATTTTTGTCCAGAACTTGGCAACACAGATGATTCATCAGAGAGAATAAAGTTGAGAGAGAAGCATACTTACATCATCTGTGGAATTAGACGATGCACCTAACTGGTATTTGATGGAACCCGTGAAAACATCAAAAGCTTGAGAGAGCGCAATCCCAGACATGATGCATGCTGCTGGAGCAAGCACGAGCATAAGACGAACCTAAGAGATCAAGAAGACAGGTAAATAAAGGGTTGAATAAAGAATTAGGCAACAGAAAGATGCAACGGCAATTCATAGACACACAACTCACCATAACTCCAGAAAAGTATACAGACATTACAATGTAAAGGACCACAAAAGAGCTGGCATCAGATAGAGGCGAAAAGCACGCCTACCAACAGAAGATAAGAAAAGAGGAAAGAATCAACACAAAATATATGGACAAAAAGTAATGTTATTCAGCACAAAATCTGACTAGTAACTACAATCAAAATTAACTCACAATGATGCCAGCAGGGACCAAGAAAGCCAAAACATTGATATCCATGAAATAAGATGGCCAAGTTGGAGGTTGATGTTCACTGACACTTGCAATAATTGGAATATACTTGCTTGCATAAGTTCTGGTGTATGAGAGATAAAACCAAGAAAAGAGTGTCAGATATGTTATAATTATAAAATGATACAGTAGGATTCCTGAAATGTGGACAAAGACATACTCGAAATTTGCGAAGAACTTAAATTGCTAGGAGAAATAAAGATTGAAATACTAGAACCACTCACGGATCAAGTAGACTCAAACTCCTACCACTCCATCCTCCTGTTGGACTTGAAGCCACCAATGCCACAAGAATTGCCACAACTATGAAACACACAACCCTGTAAAGAATAATGGAGCATAGATAAACATTTTACCCCATGACGCATAATCCAGAAAATCTAGAGGCTATCCCATCTGTACTAGCTATGTGCAGTTGGATCAGAAGCAGATAAACTCCTCTTATCAAGGTGTGGTAATCGTAGACATGTCAGAGAGAAACAGTATAAGAAAGCGTACATGCCGATAGACACAACAAGTGTCACAGCAACTTTGAACATTTTCGGAGAAAGAATGCCTTTGATGTAGTATACAAGAGCTACAACGTGGATGATGATGAAAACCTGCATAAGTTATCGATAAAATTTGCTTAACAAAAGTAGAAGTAAATCAAGAGAATAAGTAGTAGAAGATTCTGTCAACTTGCACAAACATTAAGTTTAAACCCAATATATCCATCTCTATGCACTTTCTTCGTATATATATTAACATATCTCAGAAGAGAAAACTTAGAAATTTAAAAAGGCTTCAATTTTTTTGGCTTAAATAACTCTACAAGCATCAACTAGTAAACTCGTGTCCACAAAATTATGCACCGAAAGGACTAATCCATGGTCAATTTAACACGCAAAATAATGAAGAGGCATACATTACAAAATAATGAAGAAAAAACTCACCAAAAACGAGGCAAAATGTTCAGAAGTCAAAACCGCATTGAAACCAACAACAGGCACCAATGCAGCTAACAGTGTGCCTAACACAACCTGCATACACATGCGCACACTAGGTGTCAATAACTTTCAGTATTATGTCATTTCAGCTATTTTTCAGCATCCTACGTGATATATACAACTACTGGTGTAGGTTGTTAAAATACTTTTTATCTGTCACCAGAAGGAAGAAGATTCTTACCAAAGGAGCATAGGCAATGTACAGTCGGGGAGAGTATCGCCCAGTTACAATGCACAAAAGCACGTGCATTGGTATCAGATTGATAATGAAGGTGTAACCTCCCCATGAACATACCTAATGATGGAGAAAAACAACTGAAAACTGAGCAGAAAATAATAGTGAAGAGGAAAAGGAGAAAAAAAATGGTGAATTATCCCAGGTCGTACCATGTAAAAGTATGCAAGGGCATTCAGGGTGGCATAAAATAAGGAACCTGTATTTAATGTCTGCATAAAATTCATGATAAGGATCACCGGAAAGAATAATTAACAAGAACTGGCGACTAACAAACAGATATTTACAAGAGAAAGTTTGATGTTGGTTGCTGAAGGAATTTTATTATACACACGCTCCAAAGGGTGAAAAAATCAAAACAACTTTACATGCCATTGGAGAAAACCCTAACCTTTATGTAAAGATAAAAAGTGAAGATCAAAGCAAAGATGGCAACAGCTTCATTGTCATAGCTACCAGCTACAGATCGGGATATATATGAGGGAACCTGCAAAGGTAACCATTTAGTAAAAAGAACTAACATTCTAAAGAATCGCAACAATAGAAATTTGTGGCGAATTCCAGTAAACGATGTAACAATGCTGAATAGAGTACATGCCATCAAATAACCAAGTGATAACCTATTAAAAATCATAGCCATGATGTTCTAGAAACTTAATGTTTGCTGTTCAGAGTTTTTCTAAAACATCAGTTGAAGAAAAATTTCACGTATACCAATTGACTATATTACCATGGCCAAAAGAGCAGCAGCTGCTAGTCCGGCACCGGAGCCCTTAACTTCCTGTTAGAATGCAAATAGGTACTTTTGATTAACTGGTTCTGAAATTTAGTAGAGAAATCATGTAAGACAAAAGACAAACCTTGGTCAAAAGGTAAGTTGCCCAGGATGCGAAAGCTGAAAATACAGGTGCAGTGAAGACACAAACAGTCTCTACTGACAGAGGAATGTTTAACGAATTCAAGACCCTGTGGCACATAGATATAAACAATTAAAATTCAAAACGGACCTGTATCAAATCATTGCTGAAAACGGTGAAACTACACTCACCACCAGATGGTTCCAGCAGTCAAAGTCAACCCAGGGTAAACAGTTCCTCCAATCACACGGCCAAGAGGATACCTAAAATCATATAAAATGAGTATAATGCTATTGAAGACAGTAATAGACCCAAATTTCTGATCCTCAAATTACCAAGTCCGATCATCAAACCAATTCCAGAACTCGTATATTCCATTCTTCGATAAGAACTGAAATAAACAAAAAATTAAAAGAAGAACTCGCCCATAAAGCTAAAATTGATATCCTGGAAATAAGAAAAGAGAGTGAACCTGAGTGACTCTATAATTGAAGTAAGGATCAAACTCATGAATCACGCTTTCATACTTTATAACCTGAAAAAAAAATCAATGAACGTTACCAAAAATAATCAAATTGAAAAGTATGAGATTTTGCTAAAATCCAACAAGAATTAGCCTCATCTGCAGAGTAGAGCGACGAATTACTGAATTTACTAGAGAAATAAAATTAACTAATACCAAGCATTCTTCCAATTGTCATATAAAGTGGAACAAGAATTGAATGAATAATTCAAAGTTAAGCCACTTAATATCACTCTACTGAGATATATGAACCACCACTACACCGAATAACAACAACAATCTGTTTCATTAACACAGAGACATTGGGGAAGATAGAAGCTACACCAATCAACCGCAAATCATGAGATCGGATCTAGAGTAGTCGGATCTAAACTAGACCGATCGGATCTAAAGCCTAACATATTGAAGAACACTGAAATGAATCAATCAAGCAGAAACAGCAGTGAACTCACAGAGAAGAGTCGGATCGAGAAAGCAAGGACACCAATGAGGACGAGGATCAGGACTGATAGAACGTTGCCGAAAGCATTCCTCATCGCAGTCGGGGTTCCCGGCTGTGGGCTCTCTAGAGCCGCCATTTTACGCGGCGGAAAGTGAGCTCTCCGGCTCGATGAATCGGATTAGAGAGAGTGAGGAGCAAGAACAGACACGACTTCAAGGCCGAAGGGTTTTTGGTCGCGAGGACTAACTATCTCCGGCAAAACTCTCTCTCACGGGAATTACATGTTAAGCTGCGGTAACTATGGTAAACAAACGACTGACCCAGCCTTCGTGGATTTAACACATGTCATGTGTTCATTCGCCACAAGTCATCTTAAGCTAGCCGGTTTTCTTGCGTCATGTAAAATAATCAATCAAATCAAACCGGTGAGACTGAGAGGAGTTGACTTTCCAAACCGATGAAATATCCGGTCAACCAAAAACCTCAATTCGAAATACCACGATTATTATAAGCATTTTCGGTTCAAATCGGTTTAGTATAAACATGTACGACCGGATTTTTCCGTACATATGATAGATACTTTGCGGCTAAACTCTCTAGAGAATGTGATTGCAGAAGTGCAGATCTGTATTTGTGAAATAACTTTTTTTTCTTTTATAACACCCTTGTACGGTTGTACCTTCTTTTATTCGGCAAATTTCTTCAGTTCATTAACAAAAGAGTACTTCTGTCGGAAAGAAAGATTAGAAGCCCAAAAGGCCAAAACTTGTAACAAGTTACCAAAAAGTAGTAAAATGTGTAACAGCAACTTTTCAATACTGAACAATCACATGATACTATAAAGATAAGAACGCCATGGGCAAAGTCAAAAATATGAATCAAAGTATTCAAATTAGTGTTGGTTGAAACTTGGAACAAAGACCACCTCAAACTCGGAGATTCCCTTTTACAGACACAGTCCACATACTGTTACAGACCAAAAACAAGTATCGGTTTACTTGCAAGGGAACACTAGAATTTCAAAACGTTTTGATAAATATCCATGACGAGAGCGATTTCATTAGCTCTTTTGCACTTCTTTATGATAAACACCAGACACATGTATATTTCGAGGAATCTGTGTTTTACCTGATTTCCTGAATTCGATGCCCATGCTCTCAAGTCTCAACCATGAGGAAGCAGACACTCATAAAAAAGCACGACAAGGAATATATCCATCTTTAAGCAAATAAGTTAGAATCTATTTGCTCCACATTCGGGAAGATTTGTCTGACCACAGCAACATAATCAGAAGACTTGGCCTGAGACGAGATAGACAACACAAAATGATAAACTCGAATGAGATATCGTTTAATTGCTTAATTCCTATTAACATCTTCTGAGCCAGAGAAATTGATCATTTATAGAGGACACTGGGTCTCACCCAAATAAATGAATTGACTGATGTAGAAAACTACAACCCAGTAGTGATACTCAAGTTCTGTTCTTATATGCATAATAAACTTTATAAGAAAACTAAGGTTTCTTATGCATTATCAAAAGATGAAGAAAAGATCTATCTAGATTACAATGTGCACTGAAGAAGACCAGCAGTGGGATCATATGTGTATCATTAAACTGACATTCCATATCAAAAAGCAAAACCAAGATAGTCCTAATAGATAGGAGATCCTACAATAATGAGTGATAAGACTTTGAAGAAAGGTGACTAAAGATAATGATTAAACTTACACAGGGGTTATTTTCGAGGTAGATAGTTGTAAGCTTCTCTTTAGATCCTGTAACAGCTTCTGTGATTGCCTCAAGTGATTCTATCTGGTTGTCATTAAGCCATAAATCTTCCAACCTATAGGTTAAGCTAAAGTCAGGATGGAGGAAAAAAATCACCAAAAGATAAAAATCGGTCTGAAGCAAGGGAAAGGTGAAATACTTTGTGAGGTTCTGAATGTCATCAACTGAAGTAAGCTTGTTGTTAGACACGTCCAATACCCGTAGGGTGACCAATGCATTCAAGCCTTCCATCTTGGAGATACCATTATGGCTCAAATATAACTCTTCAAGAGCAACACATTCCTGGGCAAATAATATTTCAAGCATCAGAAGAATAAAATGCTGGCATGAGGAATGAGTATATCTGCAAAAAGGTATACCTCAAATCCTTTCATAGAGGTCAATCGATTGCTCTGCAAGCTAATCTTTTTTATGCATTTGAGCCCACACAGGTTGACAACTTTGATACGGTTTCTTCCGAGCCATAATTCTTCTAATTTTGTGAAGTTTTCCAGATTTTCCATTACCTGAAACCTCAATGCTTTCAACTTCATTGCTGAAGCACTGTAAAGCGAATAAAAAATATCGAAGAGGAGGGACAAACCCGCAATCTATTAGACCCCAGTTCAAGAATCTGCAAGTTGTGTAAGTGTTCGATCTCCACAATCTTGTTAACTTCATTTTTAGACACATAGAGTTCCTTCAGTGTGCTAGATGCCTTGGATGTTCCTTCCAACGAAGTGATTTCATTGAAAGATATGTCGAAAACCAAAAGCTTCGTGAATATGTTGATATCTGGTACTTTTGCGAGCTTGTTGTCTCTGAGAATCAGCTCCTGCATAAATTAAAGCAAGAAACACTCTTCTTTATCCACTGCACACAAAAATTATAGGGCCTCTCAGACTATAAATGCCAATTTTCAATTCTAGTGAAAATTAAAGATAAAATATGTATCCATACAACAAGAAATACAAAATGAAATTATCCAAAATCAAATGGTTCCACGGCCAACAACGTAATCACATGCCTAAAATGCATATTGACTTATTTCACCATTTACAAAATCACTCCTAAGATTCAAAAGGAAAATCAGAGAGTGGAGAATCACCTCGAGATCGGACAAGGCGTCCCAGTGAGACAACGGTTCGACGGCGGAATCATCAATTAGGTTCTGGCGAAGAGAAAGCTTCTTGAGCGTCGAGAGCTGAGCGATCCTCGAGTCCAATCCCGACAAACGGTTCGCCGTTAGGTCCAGCTCAATCAGGGTCGGCAGTAACTCCACCGTATCGAGACTGTGGAGCTGATAGCTAGTGAGATCGAGAACATTACTCGAATCGCCGATCTCTTCCAATGGCTCGTCTTCCTTCTCACTGTTCATGGCTTTTGGTTCAAGCTCGCGATGACGACAAACGAGCTTTGTGGGAGCTAGTCTAAAGCGAATTTCCCTTATATTAAAACGTTACCGTTTTCGGCACACTTGAAACTTTGTTGCCGGTAGGGTTGCTATGGGCTGAAAGCCCATGATTAGGCCCATCTTCAGGTCGAAATTAGAACAAAATTATGACTCAATCTATATATATAATTGGGAGATTTTTCTCCCCATCTAGGGTATCCACATCAGCATCCATGTCATCATAATTTATTTTTTTGAAGGCTCCACCTATTTCATTTATTAAAACAAAAAAAATTAAACTAAAACTAATTCACACATTAAATAAAAATAATAATTGACAAAAATTAATGAAATATTATGAAAAAACGAAAAAAATAAATATACAATATGAAAATTTTGAATAGAGATTGAATAAATATTAATTAGATCATTATATTTTAACATATAATGAGTAAATATTTTTAAATAGTTAGAGATACGAAAAAAGAAACTTATCATATATTTTAATGGTACAAAATTTATTTTTTAAGAGTTACAATTATTTAGTAGAGTAAAGAAAATAAGAGTTAAAAAACCAAATATAAAGGTTTTTATTTAAAATAGAAAGCAATTCATTTCTGAAAAATAGACATTTAAAATTTGAGTACCGATTAAAAAATAAAAAGAATTTAGAACATATTATTATTTATAATTATAATATAATATATATTAGTATATTTTCTATATTATTAATTTTTTCTAAATTAAAAAGTGAATACCTAAAAAAGAAAAACTAAATATTAATTAGTGTTTAGAAAATTAACATAGATTGAAAAAAATTAAGGTGATTTGCAATAATAAAAAAAACTATCATGAACATCACAAATAAAAATAAAATAATCTTATCGAGTATTAAAACTGTGTAATAATAATATTTGAGAATGCTATTTGGAAATTAGAATAGTAATGGTAGATAGAAGAGTTTTTCATTAGAAATAAAAAGGATTTTGTTTTTTTTTTAAAATAAATGTATTTTAAAATTAGAATAATTTTTATGAGTTCGTAAGTGTCACATTAAGAATACTTTCTAGAATCATAATATACGTTAAATTATATATGTAGAAAGAGATTTTTGTATTTTTCAAATGGTCAAGATAAAGTGCAAAATTTCACGTTGAAATCCTATGTTTACGAATAGGAATGAGTCTATGAAATCTATTTTCTATAAAGCAATTTTAGATGCACCAAAACATGGTAAAAAAAAGCTTTATGATAAACATCTCCTCAGATTTCTGTTCACTTTAATAAAAAGATCATGAAACTTATAAAAAAAAAATTGAGTATCGAATGATATGAAGGAGAAAATAGAAATGATCTAAGGAGAAAAGAGAGTAGATGTTGGGAGACGACGAGTGAATCATAGAAGATAACGAAAAATATTATAGTGAAAAATGTGAGAAACGTTTTACTACTTTGGAGAAACTTTATATCTTACTCATATTTAAACATGAAACTTTTGAATTGAGATTGGAGAAATATAAAATTAGATAATTATATCTTAACATATAATGCGTAATTATTTTTAAATAGTTAGAGATAAGAAAACGGAAACTTATCATATATTTTAATGGAACAACAATCACTTTTAAGAATTACAATTATTTAGTAAAATAAAGAAAATAAGAATTAATAAATACCAAATCTATATATATATAATGGGAGAGTTCTCTCTCCATCTAAGGTGTCCACATCAACATTCATGTCATCACATTTTATTATTTTGGTAGGATCCATATATCTTATTTATTAAGAAAAAAATATTAAAATAAATTAATTCACATACTTTATATTATTACCCTCCATTTAAAAAAAATTACAAAAAAATTAAATATGAAAAAACGGAAAAACAAATATAAAACAGATAATGAATAATTATATCTTACTCATATTTAAACATGAAACTTTTGAATTGAGATTGGAGAAATATAAAATAAGATAATTATATCTTAACATATAATGCGTAATTATTTTTAAATAGTTAGTGATAAGAAAACAGAAACTTATCATATATTTTAATGGAACAACAATCACTTTTAAGAATTACAATTATTTAGTACAATAAAGAAAATAAGAGTTAATAAATACCAAATTTAAAGGTTCTTACTTAATAAAAAAAGTAATTTATTTCTAAAAAAAATATTAAAATTTGAGAATATATTTGTTAAGGTTAAAATATCAATTCCTTATACCGGTTAAAAAATAAGAAGGATTGAGTACATATTATTGTTTATAATTATAATATAATATAAATAGTTAAATTAAGAAATTTGTCTATATTATTAATGTTTTCTTAATTAAAACGTGGAGGATAAAAAATGAATACCTAAGAAGAAAAACTAAATAGTAATCAGTGTTTAGGAAATTAACATAGAATGAAAAAAATTAAGGTGATTTGAAATAAAACAAAGACCTATGTTTTAGTAATGGTATATTGCAGAGTTTAATAAAACTGTGTAATAATAATCTAATCGAGTAATAAAATTGTGTAATAATAATATTTGAGAATGCTATTTGGAAATTAGAATATTAATGGTATATTGAAGAGTTTTTTAATTAGAAAGAAGAATGATATTTTTTTTTTTAAATAAACGTATTTTAAAATTAGAATAACCGGATTGAGGACGAACGGCGAGGTAGACAATGATTGTGGTTCATTTACTCTTACTTTGTTTTGTTATTTCAGTTCCCCTGTTTTTGTTTTACTCTGTTTCTAGCACACTCTTTATTTGTTTCAATATTAAGACGACAAAAAAAAAATAGAATAACTTATGATTTCGTAATTTACATATTTTAGAAAAAATCAACACTAAGAATACTATCTAGAATCATAATATACGTCAAATTATGTATGTGAAAAAAGAATTTTATATCTTTCAAACAGTAAAGATAAATGAAAAATTTGACGTTAAAATCCGATGTTTGTGAATAGCAATGAGTTTATATATGAGATTTGTTGTATACAAAACAATTTTACATCCACCAAAACATGGTCAAAAAAACCTTATGACAAAACATTTCATAAAATTTTCTGATGTTCATTTTAATAAAAAGATTATGCAACTTATAAAAAAAGAATTGAGTATTCAAAGATAGGAAGGAGAAATGATATACGATATATCTTGAGAACTAATTCACAATCGAGTATATTATATATGAGTCAATATAAGGCGAAAAGAGAGTAAATATCGGGAAACAACGAGTGAATCATAGAAGATAACGAAAGAAATTGTAATGAAACGTGTGAATTTTTTTTTACTATATTGGAAAGATAATGCACATGAATAAAGTAAAAAATATTAAAATTCAAATGATTAGATTTATACTCAAAGATTCGCATTGATAAAAAAAAAAAAAAATCCAGCGCAACGCGCGGATACATAATCTAGTATTTACAAAGGTAGAGTCAACTTTATAGCTAAATTCATACTCATACAACAAAGAAGAAACAAGCACATTAAATCTAAACTTTTCACCATCAGTATATCATCTACGCTTTACTTGAAACACTCTGTTATACCAAATAGAATGCAAAACCATATGAAACAGATCGTATTTCTCAGGTTTAGCATGCCACAGAAAGTGCCTTTGCGCTTTTCTCACCGCCATTTGCATCTTCACGTATTTCTCTTCTGGTATCGACGACAAGATATCTTTCAACCTCGGGATGTCTTTCTCCGCAACAATGACTGAGAACGCACTCCAGTCAAGAACTTCAAAGAAAGGCGGCACAAAGTTGTCGGATATAATCACAGGGACACACTCATAGAAAATCGATTCAACCACCCTTGGGCTGTTGACCTCGTACCCTTTAGGACAAATGCAGTACTTGCTGCTTTTCATCTGCTCGATGTAATTCATCTTGCTCGCCACACCAAATGGCATTCGCCCGAAGATTTTCATGTCCGGGTCTTTGTCTTTCCAATGCTGCAGTAGAATCTGACGCAAGTAACCGTGCATGCTTCCAGCATAGAAAGCCAGGGTCCGCCTCTGAGACGGCGGTTTTCCACCCAAATCACGAAGCGGATTTTTGGCAGCTCGGACGTATGTTTCAGGGAGTGAGATGTCTCTTCCAATTTTAAAGCCTGCGGTTACGTCTGCATTGCATAGAGCTTTAATGCAATGCTCCATGTGGTGCCTAGTCTCATATGGTGCCTGTTTAGTGAAGCCAAATTCAACATGGAATATTGTTACCCACTGACGAAATGATTAATTCAATTTGAAGAACTGAAAGAGATGCCTACCCAATCATGACAAGCAACAAGAAAATGATCGGCTCCATCGGTTCTATTGAAGAAAGGGTACTTGGAACTGATGTGCTCTGTATATTCCTTAAGAAACTGGCGCAGATTAGTTCGGTTGTGAGAATTACGCACATAAAGTGTGTATTCTAGCATCCGTGCACTAAATGGCATATAGTACAAGTGAGCCTTTCTTGGGTCCTTTACAGTGTATTGCTTGTTTCCTTCCATCAATTTCATGAACCATCCCTCTGATGCATACAATCCCTTGAGTATCGGAGTATGGAAAATAGGGCGGTTTCCTTCCTTATATACATAAACCTTGAGTATCCGTTCCATAAGTTCGTAACTCCTGAGGCGTATAACTGAATCAGGTATGTCAAGATTACCTTTTATAAGAAGACACTACCAAACAGAACAAATTTGTGAACTAAACATATACAAATATGAACTCAGGCTTTCTTTTCCTTTTTACTTGCTTCACAATACTAACTTCAAACAGAAAATGATCTCAACTTAGGACCATATGATGCACATTTTACAGTAAGAGTAGTGCTAAACTTTCATCTACATAGGACTAACGACACTACTGAGTATTCATAAATTCGTGTAATACCATTACTCTTTTTCATTAACAAGCAACCCTAATTTAGAATTAGGTCTAAGTTCTGCACTTTTACCTCTTAAACATGGAAACATTGCGGAATATTGGAGGGTAGAGTTGCCGTTCACTTGTTGCAACTGGAGGAGCATTCTCTATCTCCTTCCTTGCAGTCAATATCTCCTCATCTCTCCTAGAAGACCAACGTGGTCGCTACATTGGAAGCAGTAGTTCTCTCAATTGCATTATAACTAAAGTTCCACAAGTAAAAAGAATAAAAAAGACAGCTGCACACATACCATCGCGCGTGAAGTTCTACGGTGCCTTGCTAAAATCCGATTCATCTCATCTATTGTTGTCACAGATTTTGGTGGAAGATCACACCGCATTTTCTTCTTCTTACTCACTTTCCTAGAAACAAGCAAGGAACTATTTCCAAATGCAGAACCAGCTATGGAGGAGCCTGCACTTGACATAGAGCTCTTCAAATTCTTCTGACTTTGAACCGATACATTTTGCACCTGATGGCCATTATTACTGGTTGAAACAATCTCATTTTGCATTACAGTCTTCTCTGTAGGAAAAAGACTATCACTGCTTCCAGCAACTTCTTTGATGATGATACTGTCTTTTGCATCTTCAAAGCTCTCAAAATCAACATTTCCAACAAACCCTTCTTCATCATCTTCCGACTCATTCCTTAGACCAAAATCTGAAACATTCCCATTTTTCTCCAAGACATGAATCCCCGAGCCTGCAGAATCCTCAGAAAAGTTAACCGCAAGTGTGTTTCGCGATGGAGTCATCAACGCATTGTTCTCATTGGGAAGTTTCAGTCTTCTACCATCAGGCAAAAGATATCTTAAGGCGTCACCATATGAAAGTAACAACAAGATATAAGTAAAGGCCATAATCCCAACCAAAATAGCCCATTTCCTCTTTCCACTTCGTGAATGTTTTCGGAGCTCAGATCTAATAATCTCCATGAGAGGAATTACACAGATTCAAACCCAAAAGACATTCAAGTTCAAGTATTTAACAACAAGCTTCAAAAACTTATTCTGCCGACACATTCACGAAAAAAAAAAAAATGGAAAGACATAATTTCCAACGATCTCGATCTTAATTTGGAAACCGAAAACATTCGTTGCTCAATTCAGAGTAAATTGAAACCCTTGAAGTGGAAAAGACATGGAGATGATGGAGTTGAAGAGACACCGACGGAAGAATCTTCAAAACAACTCCGACCAAAGTGAAGTGTCTGTATTTGGTGTTGGTCTTCTTCTCTTTGACGACCTTTGACTAATTTGGTGAACTCCACTGATAAAACAAACCGAACCAAAATTCACAGATCTGAATAATAAACCGAGTTGTTGAAAAAACTATACCGAACTGAATAAACCGAATTTTTGTAACCGGTTTCCTAAGCTGAACCAACAAGCCGGCTCAAAAGTCGCTCCACCACCAAACTCTACAGTATGTTCATCAGAGGTCAGAAAAATCAAATTACATAGGAGTGAAGCGAATTTCCCCGGCGACGACGACGACATGTGCGTGTGTGAATGAATCTCGCTATCAAACCCTAATTCAGCCATCGCCATGAAGGTGCTCGGAGGAGCTTCTTCATATGCTTACAGATCCTGTATCCTCGTCGGTTTCCTCTCCGTTTCTCTCTTCTGGCTCTGTCCCAGCACTTACCGTCCCCAGCACCAAAATCTCAATCCGCAGAACGTAACTGATTCGGAGTCTGAGACGGCAACGAAGACTAACTATATAATCCGATTTAAGCAGTATAAGCCGGCGAAAGATCATCGAATTTACCTCGAATCGAAGGTCCGATCTAGCGGTTGGGGTTGGATCGAGAGGATTAATCCGGCGGCGAAGTATCCGACTGACTTCGGTGTTCTATGGATTGAGGAAAGCGAGAAAGATGCTGTTGTTGGAGAGATTGAGAGGCTGGAGATGGTGAAAGACGTGAACGTTGAGTTTAAGTACCAGAGAGTGTTGCTTGGAGGATCTTTTCTCGACGGGAAGAAACGTCCGGGGAAGATCTTCACTTCTATGTCTTTCGAAGAAGGAACCGATTCTTCGCCTATGACGGATACAAGTAACACCACGTTAAACTGGAGTCGACATCTTCTTGCTCAGGTGAGAGATTGTCAAGTTACATAGTCAATATCTGATTTTGTTCGCTCACTAAATACGATTACAAATTCGTCACATGATTTACTTATTCGATCTATGCGGTAATTTTGGTATCGTGAAGTGTAAGTGAGGTCTTTAATAAGTTACATTTGTTTTCTAATTTGCAGAAGACTCAAGTCACGTCCATGTTTGGAGCAGATCATCTCTGGAAGAAGGGGTACACTGGTGCTAAAGTTAAAATGGCTATATTTGATACCGGAATAAGAGCCGACCACCCACATTTCCGTAGGATCAAGGTACCACTATTTGGAGAAACTGATAAACCATAGTATTTCTCAAAGATTTTTGAGAAGTATCTAGTGTTTAAAATTACTAGTTTTCTTTGATCTACTTGTCTTGTTAAGCTCTGAAGCTGGTATTGACGGAGTAACTTTCAGGAGCGTACGAATTGGACAAATGAGGACACTTTGAATGACAACCTGGGCCATGGGACATTTGTTGCTGGTGTTATTGCTGGTCAAAATTCAGAATGTCTTGGTTTTGCCTCAGACACGGAAATCTATGCTTTTCGAGTGTTCACAGATGCCCAGGTAATGCATGATCACACAACAGATATACCTTCTTATGTGGGAAGGGGTTTAACATTTATGCCCCAATTGCAATTGCTAAGATACTGATATTGGTTACACATTGATCTTTATTTTGTCCTCGAGATACTGTAATTGACCGCTATATATCTGAGTGTCTTCCTTTTCTCTATCCCAGATATGCAAGTTGTCTTAATTAAATAGGTTATGATAAGTTTGCCCTCAGCTTGTTGCAGGTATCATACACCTCATGGTTTCTTGATGCTTTCAATTATGCTATAGCAACAGATATGGATGTATTAAATTTGAGCATTGGGGGACCGGATTACTTGGACCTGCCTTTTGTAGAGAAGGTAATTGTTCCTTAATCTCTTGGTTGAAGTTTGCGATATCCTCTTGAGTCAAGTAGTGGGGGTGTTTCTCTCTAGGATATATGAACAGTAGTGTGTTCTGAGGCACTGATTTTCTTCGAACAGGTTTGGGAAATAACAGCCAGCAATATCATTATGGTGTCTGCAATTGGAAATGATGGGCCACTTTACGGAACGTTAAATAATCCAGCTGACCAGAGTGATGTCATAGGTGTCGGTGGTATTGACTATGATGATCACATAGCTTCATTTTCATCTCGTGGCATGAGCACCTGGGAACTTCCTCATGGGTACTGTATTTCGTTGCTGCTTCTTCATTCCCCTTTACAAACCCTACAATTGTAGTGATACAAAATGGCTTGTTTTCATGCAAATCCTGACTTAAAAATTTTGCTTACAGATATGGCCGTGTGAAACCAGATGTGGTTGCATATGGCCGTGACATTATGGGCTCCAAGATCAGCACTGGTTGTAAAAGCTTGTCTGGAACAAGTGTGGCTAGTCCTGTTGTTGCTGGTATTGTTTGCCTGCTTGTAAGTGTTATTCCTGAAGCTAGAAGGAAAGATCTGCTCAATCCAGCAAGCATGAAGCAGGCGTTAGTTGAAGGTGCTGCTAAGCTTTCAGGTCCTAATATGTATGAGCAGGGTGCAGGAAGAGTTGATCTGTAAGTTACTTATCCATATTGGTTATCACCATTGGGTTCTTTATTTTTATTTTGATCCTAGTACATTTTCGTAGTCTCTAATTTTTCGACTCTTTGTCAGATTAGAATCATATGAAATTCTAAAGAGCTACCACCCCCGGGCGAGCATTTTCCCGAGCATTCTTGATTATAGTGATTGTCCATATTCCTGGCCCTTTTGTCGTCAACCACTATATGCGGGTGCTATGCCTGTTATTTTCAACACGACAATTCTTAATGGTATGGGTGTTATTGGCTATATTGAAAGTCCACCAACATGGCATCCTGCAAACGAGGAAGGAAATCTTCTGAGCATCCACTTTAAGTACACAGATGTCATATGGCCGTGGACTGGTTATCTAGCTTTACACATGCAGATCAAGGAAGAAGGTGCACAGTTCACAGGTGAGATAGAAGGTAATGTAACTGTGAAAGTCTATAGCCCATCAGCCCCTGGAGAAAGTGGGCTTAGAAGGAGTACTTGTTCTCTTCAGTTAAAACTGAAAGTGATTCCCACTCCACCACGAGCGAAACGTATTTTGTGGGATCAATTTCACAGCATTAAATATCCTCCTGGTTATATTCCAAGAGACTCTTTGGATGTCCGCAATGACATACTTGATTGGCATGGTGATCACCTGCATACAAACTTTCACATCATGTACAACATGTTACGCGATGCTGGGTACTATATCGAGACTCTTGGTTCGCCCCTTACATGTTTTGATGCTCAGCAATATGGAACCCTTTTGATGGTTGACCTTGAAGATGATTACTTTCCAGAAGAAATTGAAAAACTCAGAGATGACGTTATCAATACTGGACTGGGTCTGGTTGTGTTTGCTGAGTGGTATAATGTCGATACCATGGTGAAGATGAGATTCTTCGATGATAACACACGCAGTTGGTGGACTCCAGTCACTGGAGGTGCAAATATCCCCGCACTTAATAACCTTCTTGCATCATTTGGGATTGCGTTTGGAGACAAAATTCTGAATGGGGATTTCAGTATTGACGGTGAGCAGAGTCGATATGCTTCTGGAACAAACATAGTCCGGTTTCCTGCTGGTGGGTTTTTGCACACTTTTCCTTTACTAGACAGCTCTGAGAGTGGCGCTACACAAAATCTACTGCTAACTGGGTCATCAAAGGTAATGAGAAACCAGTTCCCTCTGTTTCTAACTGTGCCTTACATTTTCTTAATTGAATTGCAGAGCTTTGTTTGTTATAATGTGGCTCTGTTTACAGGAAGACCCTGCTGTTCTTGGGCTTTTGGAGATTGGTGAAGGTCGGGTTGGTGTTTATGGAGACTCAAACTGCCTGGACAGTAGCCACATGGTCACCAACTGCTACTGGCTCCTGAAGAAAATGCTAGATTTTAGCAGTTCAAAAATCAAAGATCCTGTACTTTTCTCAAAATTTGCTAAGAGATATTCACCCGTAATCATAGACGAGAAGCAACTGCCATCCCGAAGAACTGATGTAAATTTTTCAACATACTCTTCTGTGATCGGAAAGGAGCTAATCTGTGAGAGTGACTCCAGATTTGAAGTATGGGGGACTAAAGGATATAACTTACATGTCAGAGGAAGGAACCGTAGATTACCCGGTTATCATGGCATTGATTTGGGTCGAGGCTTGAATTTCACATTGGAGAAAACAAGACCAACTCGTTGGAGATCAGGTGAGCTTAGTTCTTCCAGGAGCAAGTATCTGGGAGGCTTTTTCAGCAAAGACGAGGTAATTCATGTAATCTTCTAGTTTTTCTAATTAATATTGGAGGGACCAAAAAGTTTCTAAGATCATACTCTCAATTTGCAGATTGACATGCCATTTCTCGTTGCTACTCGCTGGATTGTACTTGCTGGTGTTGTAGCTAGTGGTAATATACTCAACTTTTTGTAAGATATTGAGTCTCTGCTTGACCTTTTATTGCATGATCAAATATGATTCTTGTTTCCAAAGTACGCCATCAAACTTTTCTGATATTCCGGTTTGTGTTATAGGAGTTCTAGTGCTACTAAGCATTTGGAGAATCCGGCAGAAGAGGCGTAGGCGGAGAAGATCATCAGGGTCGAATCGATTAGCCTAGCATATAGCCGTGTCTGAGTTCAGTTCTTTTTTTTTTAAATATAGCTTTTCTACTGTCATTTACACTGACCACAGAATGTAGTCTCACTTTTACTTGGAAAACTGGCAATTTTGTTTTAGGAAATCATTTTTAAAATCATCATTCAAAGAGCAAAATATGTAGGAAGGAATAGTAAATCAAGGATTATAATTTCTAAAAACATTAACCCTCACAAGAAGAAAGAAAAAAGAAAACAAATTTATATGAAATGTATCTTACATTCCCAAATTAGTGTAAAATTTGAAATTCAAATAGAAAGAGGCTTACATATGGTCCCCAACCGGCCACCACAGCAAAACCTAACCACTAAGTAGAAAGGGAAATTAGATTAGCCAATAAGCATATACACTTCCAAACATCAGACCTATAATTCCTCCTCCTTCAAAAAAAAAAAAAAACACCAAATATATTTCAATTGTTCTTAAAAATTTGCATATAGAAAGTCTGCTCTACAAGCTGAAAGTTAGTCATGCTAATTTAACAAGGCTATATAGGCTGTAGTGGTCCTCCACTTGGCCAGGTTATCTGTCTTCATTGGGGTTCGATCCCCATAGTGGCCTAATATGCATGAGCTGTGGAGCAGGAAAAAAAAAGAATCATGTTAGAAAAAAATTTATATATTTCCTTCAACATGTTAAAAGAAACGACTGTGGAGAAGATTAATATTTATACCAGTATTCAATCGTAACATTTAATGATAATTATTTTGCAAAAAAATTATTAGTCGGAATGCACAGAACAATACCTAATCTATAAAGACATTGCAGTTTTAAATCGAAAATATAAAACAACTACGCCAAAACATGCAATTTCATTAATGATAATACTTCTAAAATATATTATATATATTCAGTTTGTTAAACCAAACTCATGTGGAATAGTCGAATAGATGGAATGTTTTCCTGATGAAGTGGAATGTTTTCCTTTTCATCAAACTACTACTGAGGATTTCAAAAATAAACATTATTTTCAAGTTTTGGAAAATTTTGTTTATAGGTAAATGAATGTCTCTCTCTTTTTTTTTTCGTTACAAAAGTCAATGTTATTTATTTATTTACTTCCACATATTAGGCCTGGGCAAAATACCCGGAACCGAATATCCGAACCGAAAAACCCGAACAATACCCGAACCGAACCCGAACCCGATTTTTAAAAATACCCGAATGGGTCCTAACCTCCTACCCGAAAAAAACCCGAACCGAACCCGAACCGAATCCAATACCCGAATGTACCCGAATGTACCCGAATACAAATATACACCTATAAATATTAGTTATATTTATATTTATAATACCCGAAATACCTAAAATTATAATCATAAATCCGAATATATTAGGTATTTTAGATATTTTTGGTTATATTTGGGTAAAGAGTAACCATTGTATTTTCGATAAATCGAGTATTTCGGTTAGATTTGGGTATATATGAGTTAAAAACCCGAACCCGACCCGAACCCGAAAATAATTCGGGTATTTTTGGTTATTTTCGGGTATTTTGCTTTTTTTATTAAAATACCCGAACCGACCCGAACCCGAATCGAACCCGAACCAAATTTTTAGAATACCCGAATGGGTCTTGACCCCCTACCCGAATAGACCCGATACCCGAAAAAAAAGAACCGAACCCGAACGGGTACCCGAATGCCCAGGCCTACCACATATAATCTGACTTTCGGTGATCATCGTGCACCACCTTTCTGTGTAATTGTCATTTTCAATCATTTAATTTTGAATTAAGTTGCCTTTTTGAAGAAAACGATCACACTCCAGAACCGATGCACGAATTCCGGGGAGCAGTTTCGACTATACAATGTTAAAATAAATTGTATTATGAACTTTGTAACGTTAACGAAAGATTTACTATAGTACTTAATTACTTATGGTACTGCAAATCCTTTAAGTTACAATGATAAAATATTCCAAGTAGAAGAAGTTTTAACAAACTTTACCTTATAGTCCTACAAATTTTTCAACAATTGCCTGATAATGATGAATTCGAAAAGCTAAAGAAACTGACTATTATAATTAAAAAAAAAATCAATGAAAACTGACTTTTACTACTCTACTAGATGCCAACCATTACAAAACAGTTTCATGTCAAATTTTCAAAATTAAAATATTTTAAAATTAGTGAAAAACGAGCAAAGCAAGGTCAAGCGTCTATACCTAAAATAAAAACAGAAAGAAAAAAGCAACAAGGAAATTCCAATGGTTAATTTTTGTGTCAGCAATTCGAATAGTTTAAGATAAAGACGACAGTGAAATGACAAAAGACATTGCAGAAAGAGTTAAACGTAAAAAGTTGTAATCATTAAATTATCATAAATATTACGAAATATGAATGCCAGTACAAGAAAAAAAAACACAACAGAGAATTTATCTCTCCTTCCCTCAAAAGTCTTATATGACACGACCTTTAATACATACATCATCTTCTTCATTAGTCTCTCTCTCTCTCACTCTCTCGATATTCTCTAACATGGAGAAAAGAATGAAGCTCCGGGTTTCAAGAATAGTCCGGTCATCTTTAAGCTCTTGCCGACCACGAGATCTATACGACGTCGTTGAGACTTGTGCTGTTACTAGTCAAGCAACGTCTTCCGAGAGGTTCTTCCTTACCGAAGCCAAAACCAAAACTCCACGACCAAAGAGGTATGCTTCTTCTTGCCCTCGTGCGTCACCGATTTTCCCACCAAACCCTTTCTACGAAGAGAGCCGTTCATTTCGAGATTTAAGGAAGAAGGTCAAGACAAACAGGAAGCAGAGATCGCAGTTTGGTTCTGACCCTCTCTTTGCCTCACGTTTTAAGTCAACCGGGTCTTGGTACTGGTCTTGTAGCGAGGAGGAAGACGAAGGAGACAAAGAAGAAAGTGAAGATGATTCTGATACTCTCTTTTCTTCTAGAAGCTTCTCCTCGGACTCTTCGAAGGCAGAGAGTTTTGCGGTGGTGAAGAAGTCAAAGGATCCGTACGAAGATTTCAGGACGTCAATGGTGGAGATGATTGTTGAGAGACAGATATTTGCAGCGGCTGAGCTACAACAGCTTCTTCAGTGTTTTTTGTCGTTAAACTCTCGTCAACACCACAAAGTTATTGTCCAAGTGTTCTTAGAAATTTATGCTACCTTGTTCTCTCCCTAATTTCTCTATCTACCTTTTAACATCTTTTGTAAAAGTACTATGTTGAATCTTGAATCTTGCTTTAGTGTTTGGTTCTTTTTTCGACTAGATTCTTTTCTCTTTTTTTTTTTTGTTTCAGATTATATTTGTCTTACGACCTTTCTCTGTACTTTTGTTTTTATGAACCAAATTGAGTTAACTCCAAATGAAATTGCACTTACGATTGGTTACTTTACAATCAAACGGTAGGCCTTATAATGCAGACTGCGACATAACATTTATTAGAGCATTAAACACTTTATCAAAGACCTAAAGAATTTTATGCGGTGTAGAGTTTATAAGACAAGACAATATATATATATATAAACTAGACATAGTATAACATATGAAATATCATGATTCAAAAATATGAATATTCAAACTTTTTAAATAGATTGAATATACAGATTACATTAACTACTTTTTTCTCATAGATAGTATGAATATCAAAACTAAATTGATTATACAAAAAAACTCTTGTTTTAAGTTAAGCTTGACAAAAAGGTCATATTAGCTTTAATCATATCGGCTAACGTAGCCAGCATTCACAGACACAAGAATTTCATTGTTATTAATATTATGAAGATAACAAAAGATTTTATTCAAAAGACTAGCTTTTTTTATTAACGCGAAGGAATCGGAAGGAATTTCAACAACTACCTATTTATTTATGCTCTGCTTTCAGTATCCCTAAAGCGAACTTGAAAATTTCTAGAAACTAACAAAGATCGTCTTCTACCAATAAAAGGACTTGGGGCTAAAAGCCTAAAACTTAAAATCTAAACAGAAAAGAAAATCAAACTTGTTCCAACTCAGAAACAGTCTTCTTCAGATTACCACAAGAACCGCCCTTGATGCTATCTTCATCATGGCTTATGGGTTGGTACCACTTTGCAAAGACCAAATAAACCACGAAATCGATAGCAGCTAATGCAGCAATCAGAAAGTAAAACCGATCCATATGACCTTCGTTGAGATTTTCCGGTATCCACCCGGGGTTATTCTCACCTCTTTTGGTGATGGCCATAACAATATTAACCATCAAACTGCTCACGTAGTTACCTAATGCCATCGAAGCCATACACAACGAGCTTCCTAAGTTCTTTAACCCGTCTGGTGCTTGTCCGTTGAAGAACTCTAACTGCCCAACATACATAAACACCTCACTTGCTCCCACAAGCACGTACTGCGGAATTTGCCATAAAATGGTGAGCTCACTCTCCTTTTGCCCCGGGACTACTCGTCTCAGCCGTTGGATCTCTGTTAATCCTGCAGCTACCATTGCCATTATCCCTATGATCAGCCCTATACCCATCCGCATAAGCTCCGTGGGTCTCACGTAAGGAAATATGATGTGGCGGTAGATTCCCGTTGATACAAAGACGCTGATTATGTCAAAGACCGACATGCTCGCTGCTGGGATGTGGAATTTACCTACGTATGCATTCATCACATCGCCTTGCTCCACAAACAAAGACGCCATTTGTGTGAAGATCACTGAGTATATTATAGTGCAGAGCCATATTGGAAGCAACTTCATCACACATTTTGCCTCCTCTACTTGAGTTACACTACACAACCTCCATGCATTGGTCCTTGTTTCGTCCCTGATCGAGCAATTTCATTAGATAAAAGATGAGATCTATATAAAGTATATTGTTGACCACTACATAGAGATTAATTATTGGTTTATGCTATTGTTACCATTTGAGATAAAACTAACATACTAACAAAAGGAAAATGAAGTATGTTGTTTATATATATATGGTTTACCTATCATTCTCTGTAATCACTGCTGCTCTATCCAAGAAGACAAATTTGGTACTGTGAAATATCTTTCGACTTCCTTTAATAGCGGATTCAGGACCTTCAAGTTCGTACAACTCATGCGGATCTCCTGGTCGATCAACACTCCACTTCCGAGCAGTGGCCACGAATACTTGCGCCACACGAGGCAAAGGGTTCCCACATGGCTTGACATAACGATATTGCTTTGTTGGGGCCAGAAAGGCCACCAATGCGACAATAGCTGAGCCTAGTGACACCAAGAAACCTTCAGTCCACAACCCTTTATCCTCAAAATAAACAAGGATTGTGTTTGAAAAGAGAGCTCCAACGTTGAGGGCAAAGTAGAAGTAGCTGAAAAAGGCAGCTTTGGAGTTTTTATCATCATCAAGCTGGTCTGCACCGAAAGTAGCCAGCGTTGGTTGATGGCCTCCGTATCCAAAGGCTACCAGATAAACAGATAAATAAAAGATAGCAACTCCGAGGGAAGAGGGAGTGTTGCATTCAAGGTTCCCATCGCCACAACCTCGAGGTTTGATCAAGAAAAACCAAGAAACAAAAGAGAGTAGGCCAACACCGATAACGAAAATGACTTGGAATATCGTGCAAGTCAAGTAACGACCCCAATAAGAGTCGCTAAGAAATGCTCCCACGAGAGAAAACATGTAAACTGTTCCGGTCCACTTGCTTACGTTGTTAGCAGCCTCTGCATTACCTTGTCCCATAACACGTGTTAGGAACAGCACCAAGTTTACTCCCACACCAAAGAAGGCCAAAGTCGCTAACCCTTGATTTACTGTTCAAATTAATGGTGAATTACGTAAGATTATTTGAATTTATACAAAATATTTAACTTTAGTATAATTATATGTCATACCTAGCAAAATGATTGCGTTTGTCCAGCCACCCTTCTTCTTCTCTTCTTTCTTCATCATCTTTTTCTGAAGATCAGAATCATTGGACATAAGTGACACCACACTTTGATCATCTTGAACCTCTACCACTTCACCAACTTCCAAATTTTCTGCTCTCTCCCGCTCCTTGCAATATAATGTCACATTCAAATTAGATTTCCAAGAACTATAGTTAATTTATATTTGTTAAAGTCATAAAGGTTTTTTTGCATACATTCAGCGGAGTAACGTAGCCATTATCTCTCGGATCCATAGCGGCCATTTTAGGTATCTGTACAAAATTTAGATTTGATTAGGTTGTAGTGAAGAACACGTACATTAATAATTTAATATATTAACGACTAACTTGATATAATTTTCATATATGATGCAAAAAACTCTTGTTTTATATGTTTAGGCGTTTCGATCGAGCATGCCAAAATCCAAATTCACCACTAAAAAAAGTATTAGAAAACAAATAAAAACTGTACTTAAAAAGTATATGTGGTAAGCAAAAAGTTGTTCATCCCTAAAAACAATTCCATGTATTATTTTATGTATGAAAATATAACCTAACCTTTTTCGAACAATCTCCGGCGAAGGAGAAGACGTTGTGTTGACGATCAGGATTGGCCGGAGAAACACTGTCGATGCAGAGAAACTAGAAACACCTTTTGTCATTTATGGTTGAAGGATTAGTGTGTTGTAGCTTTCTAACGTTTGATCAAAATTGAAATCGAGTATTTAACTCAGAGAAACAGATCAGAGAGCCAAGTGAATCTAACAATAGAGCTTAACGAATAGAAGAAGCTCGTTGGTTCTTATATATATATATATATATATATATCATGAGAAGTTAGAGCCCTAATCTAGTTGTTGCGATTGTTTTGTGTTACTGGCCCTACAAATATTACTTACCTTGAGAAATTAGGGGAGTAAAAGCTTCTAATTTGTTGGACAACAATAGACTTCTTCTTCATTTTTTTTTCTAATTAACAAGACTTCTTCTTCTTCTTTTTTTTTTTAACTCGAAACAACAGATTTATTAATTAGAGAGAGTAAAGTTCACTCTCCTTTTACCCCGGGACTATTCGAAACAAAAGACTTCTTCCTTTAGGAAAATTATCAACCAAATGTTTTTTTCATCTTAAATGGAAGGAAAAAAAGAGAGGAGGATATTAGTAGCTCTTTGAACAAATTGACCCAAATTACTGGCAGAAAAAGGAGGATTGATTGAGTCAAGGTCCAATTCACTCTTCAGAAATAATTATAAGGGGTTGACATAAAAATGACAAGCAAACAACTTTTTTATTAGTCAATCTGGTGACTTATTAAAATTATTAGTGAACAAAAAAAACGCCATTAATTACGATCATAAAAATTCAAACAAAAATAGAAAATCAAATATATTTTTGTTTTATAATAATAATATTAAGCAAACGTTTTTTTTTTTTTGGTCAACATTAAGCAAACGTTTATCTTACTTAATACTATATATAAAACGAATATGAAATAATTAATGTTCACATTTCTTACTATTATATAATTTAAAAGAAAAAAAAATCAAATTATAAATTTATATAGTATGAAACTAAGTTATTTTATACAACATATCACATATCTTATCGAGTACTCTTTCTTTTAGTTAAATATTACAGTCAGAAACCATATATCAATCTATATAAATATATACATTTCTAATTCAAAACTAAAGACTTTATTTTTTGTTACGAAAATTATGGTTTGTTACAAAAAGATTATCAAATATATAACTTTAATAAGAAGTGCTGTCCAAAAAAAAAAAAAACAAATCTTAACAGTAAATCTAAACAATAAATGAGTAATTTTAAATTGGATTTTCATATGATATTCTTAGCATAAAATTTTAAGAACTTGCAAGTAATAAATAATATCTATAGACGGTATATAATGAGAAAATGTTGGCGTCTAATCTCCTGCGGACTAGTGGTTAATAAAATAACTCGAAGAAGATGTGAAGGGAACAAAAGGGAACAAAAGCTGCATACTTTGATTCATCATCTTTCCGAAAATGTCGTCAAACTTTACAGTGGAATCGTGTAGCGTTGATTCGGAGGAAGGGGTGAAGCTTCACACGAGAGTCTTCAAGCCCAGAAACGAAGGAGAAGAAGTCAGCGACGATGGGAATCTGGTGATAGTATTGGTCCACCCGTTCTCGCTCTTGGGTGGTTGTCAAGCTCTGCTCAAAGGCATAGCTTCTGAATTGGCCTCTAAGGGTTTCAAGGCTGTCACTTTCGATACAAGAGGTGCCGGAAAATCCACCGGAAGAGCTACTCTTACCGGCTTTGCTGAGGTCAAGGATGTCGTCGCTGTTTGTCGCTGGCTTTGTCAGAATGTTGGAGCTCATAGGATCCTGCTCGTCGGTTCTTCTGCTGGTATGCAATTCAAGTTTTGATTTTGTTGATCTGGGTTTTTGTTTGAGTTTGATTGCAAGTTAAAGTCTGATGCTTTGATTCGTGTTTCTGATTTTTGTGTTCGATCTGGTAATTGCTTCTTACAAGTTAATCTGGTAACAATTGATTTCGAATTCATTCTATGGATTCCAGATTGAGGGCATTGCTTTGTGTTTGATCTGTTGGTTTTGTGATAAAAATTGTGACTTTTTTTGCTACTTACTCAGTTCTCATTAGCAGCATTACCATGGGTTGATGACAGAATAATTGGTTCTAGGTTATGCTTTTGTTCTTTTGTTTGAAGTGATGTGGAGAGTTTGCTCATTTACTTGATATTATCAGCTGAGATCACTTTGTTCCGGTTTGGTGTTGGTCATGTTACCATTTCACTTAAGTTCCATTTTTCTCTCTCGTGTATCTCTAAGGTGGTTTTAGTTGATGTAATTCACGCCGTGTAGATTAAGCATCTTTTCTTGTTCCTGTTTCCATGTTCCATGTTTGAGTATAGGATGAGAATGGAGTAAGAAAGTTCAATCCACTGTGGAAAGAAGAAGATTAGCATTGTTTTAAATTTTAACAGATTCAATTTAGAGTGTCTAGGTGATTTTGGGGTAGACTTTATCAGATGTTACAGTTTCCCGGAAATTCTCGTTTGTTCTTCTTATCCACCGAGAGAACTCTGTTTCTTGTTTATGTGTCACAATTGACATGGATGCTTTCAGGAGTTTTGTATTACTATGAAAGTATCAGGTCTAGGCTTGCTTTCAGTGTTCCCTTTTATTGGTAAACATGAATCTTTTACGTGTTTGTCACTCGTAATGGATTTTCCTTTATTTCTTTCTGAGCATAGAACCAAGAACAAATAAGAAATTCGTAGATGAATATTACAGCATCTAATACATCTTCTACCCATAGTGACCGCCTAACGTTCTCTGATATGACGTGTGTAATTGATGAACTGATCACATTACTCTTCTATTGAATATTCTGTGACAAATTTGATATCTCATGCCAACTTCTGTATATTGTAAAAGGTAAAAAAAATTGAAGTTATGACTCTATGGCAGGTGCACCAATCGCAGGATCAGCGGTGGATCAAGTAGAGCAAGTGGTGGGATATGTGAGTTTGGGATACCCATTTGGCCTAATGGCCTCCATTCTGTTTGGACGACACCACAAGGCCATTCTCTCATCCCCTAAACCCAAACTCTTTGTTATGGGAACACAAGACGGGTTCACTAGCGTTAGCCAGCTAAAGAAGAAGCTGAAGTCTGCAGTGGGACGCACCGAAACACACCTCATTGAAGGCGTTAGCCATTTCCAGATGGAAGGACCTGAATATGATTCTCAGGTGACCGATATCATATGTAATTTCATTTCATCCTTGTAAAATTGCACATGAATCCGGAAATTACTTGGATAAATATTTATAAACACAACCATATTAGGTAAAAACTTTTAGCGGAGGAGTTTGAAGTCCTTCTCCACTATGCACTAAAAGAATTGTTTTCATATTTTTAGTTGTTACCACTTTCTCTATCAGATAATTCTTCAAGCTTTTGCAATTGCGTCGAGAAGTGTTTGCTCACGACCATGTCATCATCCTAAGGAGACAGATCAAGTTTCATACTAGGATGACAAAAACAAATCCTAATCTTAGCTCTATTATTAATTGTATGAATCTATCTGGGAGTTGGTAAAATGAATAACATCTACATGAAAAGCATTCATAGGCGACATCTCCATGCACAACCACTCACAAAACAGTGAGTTAAATAAGATAATATAAATGATAAAAATAAACAAACATCATCTAGATCAATGTACGACAAAGGCTGACAGAACACTTTTAGAATCTAAAAATGAAACAAGAAAATTTAGTTCCGCAGACCAACCCCAAAGTGAAACCTTCCCGCGTGTTGATCGTTGAAGGCATATTCAAGGCGTAGCGGCCCCAACGGAGAATCAACACGCACCCCTAAACCATACCCATAACCACTTCCGGGTTTCAGTCTTGCCCCAGCAGGATCACCTAATGGGCATAAAATAACAAAGATGAAGGTTCCCTGTGATTCTAAAGCTATCACAAGCATATATGGAAAGACTCAGAAGGAGAAAAAAAAAGAGAGCCTAGTCTGTACCTGGGACGGTGGATCCTGATCCCAGATCAGTGCCATAATCTGTAAAAATAACGCCTTCGACCGGTCCTCTCTGCACAATAGGGCAAGAATGCGAGTCATAATATTCGTACCATTGGGAAATGAGATCTTAGGAATGTTCAGAGAAAACCCCTACCACTGGGAAAGACATCTCCCCCGAACCAACTACATATGACCGACCAGATCCTACAGCACCCTCTTCGTAACCTCTTATGCTGTTTGTTCCACCGATGACGAATGCTTCATGAGGTGAAAAGTTTCCCACCACATGTCCACCAGACAGACTATAAACATGAACAAGGTAAGATACAGTATATAAAACTTGGGAAATGATGATTCGAATCCCAAAAGGCGAATAGAGAGCTCAAGAAAACTATATGCTGCAAAGGAGGTTAGCATACCTAAAAAGAAAACGAGCTGGTCCAATGTGTATGCCTTTTCTGGCACGTCCAGTCACTCGATTGAAACATAACCATTCAGGCAAAACAGGAAGCCCTTGTTCCATGTTAAACGCAAACTGGTATAGAGATACAGATAGAATTAGGCACTGAAAAAAGAAGCGGAAGATGTACCAACAGAGGTCTCAGACTGACCATTGTTGATCCTCGGTCACCTGAGCCAGTATAAATGCTTTCAAGTTTTGCTAGCAAGGTGTCATCATGGGTCTTACCACTGCATGAGTAACATTAAATAGCATCTATCAAATTCATATGGCTAAATACAGCATTGGTGAAACAGTGAGCAAAACCAAAGACAAATCATTCTTTGGGACATATATACCTTGCGGTTAGAGGGCTACTGTAGAAGTCCTTAATGATAGGGTTTCCTTGTTCATCACGAGCACCAGCATGCTGAAACATTAAAATTAAAACGAAATTAAGGATAAGGTATATATTGGTCAAAAGTCTAAAATTTACCAGTTTCGATCTAATAAGAGACGACAAGAACATATAATTTAGTTGCTTTAACACCATTATTACTCAGGATTCGTACAGAAACTTATAAAATATTGGGAACAGTAGATACCTGAAATATAAGTCCAGCAGTACCACTCCACTTTGGCCTGAATGGACGACTGTATTCGATACCTGCTGTAACCCGACCAATTGTGAGACTACTATTGTCTGGTTGATTGCCGTGAACAAGATTCCCCGGTGTTCTTGAATTCTAACACAATACGAAGCTCCTTAGTCTATTAGTCAACTCAGCATTTTCATTGAGATGAACAGAGCCAGAACCAGTAAAGGTTTTACCTGAACCATAATAGATCTGGATGTCCTCTTGTCATCTCCTTCAATCCATGGATCAGTGTAGTTTATACGAAATATAGAGTCAATTTGGCCCCTCTCTAGGGAAACATTAAGCTTCTGGTTTCTTCCAAACAGATTGCGGTGGGAATAAGCGAAGCTGCATAAAATAATTACTTCAATTACATCAGTAATGCATTTATGAAATACACACAGCCTAGGCCAGAATTAAAATGAATCGTTACAAATGAAATAAACATAATTTCATGCTACAAAAAACAGCAATGTCATATGATTTTACCTTCCAATTAGTCCTGATAGGGGGCCACTTGTGATCCTACAAAAAAAATGAATTGGACAAACCTCGTCGTCAAGTTACCAAAGAAAAAAAGTGAATCACAGTAAGGAGCAAACAAACTAAAACTTACCCACTAGATATCCCACCACCAGCAGAGAAGCCACCACTGGGACGCTCGACACAGT